GAGAGGGGCACAGAGAGGGAGACACAGAATCCAAAGCAGGTTCCAGGCTTTGAGCGGTCAGCACAGAACCTGATGTGGGGCTTGAACCCATGAATGCGAGATCATGACCTGAGCCAAAGTCGGATGTTCAACTGACTGAACCACCCAGGCTTCCCACGTGTGCTCCTTCTTAATCCAGGGGAGAAGGTTATGCTGAGTGGTTGCCATCTCTAGACAAAGTTAGGATGAAAACCTCAAGAAAACACTGCAGAATGTCATGACTTTGTCTCCCGTTTTGTCTCTCTGGGAGCAGCTTAGCCTGTGACCACCAAGGAAGATCTTGATCCTGAGTTTTTCTGAATGTTCTGTTTTATGCCCAGTGATTGCTTCCTCATCAGCTCCCCAGACTACTCTGCCCCATATGAGATATTGGAGTCCTGCTAAAATGGGATGCAGCTCTAATTTTTTTAGAACACATGTGATCTTAAAATCTGACTGCTCTCCCTGCTGCCCTGTCCTTTGAGCCATGAGGAACCCATGATGGAAAAGGGCTCGTTTCCAAAGTGGTGCTGTTGGTCTTAATTCGGTATACTCTGGAGCCTTTGGGCTGCAGGAGAGGCTGTGGTCAGTGGATTCTTATCAAGTGCTGGGTAAGCAGAGCCTGCCTTCGCTCTTGTGACGGCCTTGTGGGGGGCAGGCACCCAGTGTATGAGACCTGAAAGAGTCTGCATGGCAGAATGCAGGTGGGGCTGCAGACAGCACGGAGCTGCGAGTCTTGGAGTAGTGTCTACGGTAAAGGGAATCATTTCAATTCAGGCTGACACCCTCTAAAGAACATATGCTAGTCTGCCAGTTTTTTTAATGATTTTTTTTTTAACTTTTTGTAATTGCTCAGATTGTGCTCAGAGTTTGATTTCTGTCCGCAGGCAGGCGATACCTGTTTGCACGTTGCTGCACGCTATAATCACTTGTCCATCATTAAGCTCCTCCTCAGTGCTTTCTGTTCTGTCCATGAAAAGAACCAGGTCAGTGCATGTGTCCTCCCCATGGCCGCCAGGCCCCATTCTCACAAGGCTGACAGGTGTGTTAGCACAAATGGGGGCAGAGGTCTGGGACCGGGCCCGTGCTGCCCTTTGCATGTGTGTTCCACTGAGTCCCTGTGGTCCTGATTTATCTGGCCTCCTAGAGGGAAGAGATCCTGCTCTTACTCCAGTGCGTATCTCCACATTTGCATATTAAACATTTTCTGAAGATCTTGGGACAGGTTTTGCTTTTAATGCTTTTTACAAAGGAAACCCACAAAGAAGACTGTGGCTTAGTAAATAAGCAAGGGAATTAGAGTTCTGTTCCTTGCCCTGCCACTTGGATCGGATGAAGTCTCTGGTCTCTGTAAAATTGGGTATGTGGTCTGTATCTGTCCGTATAGTGGGGGGTGTGCAATAAAGCTGTGATTACTACAGTGTTCCATGGAAATGTGCATGATTTTCAGTATTTAGATTTTTTAAATGTCTTGGCATTTATTGATACCTAAATGATAAATTGTTTGACATTTCTGCATTTGGGTACATATATTTGAAGTTTTAAAAATCATTATTCAGGTTAACCATGCCCCATAACAGTGGTTTCTGATCCTGGCTGCATATAAGAATCAACAGGGCAGTTATAAATACCATTCCTGAATTCTACCCAAGTTTAAATGACCAGAATCCAGGTAATGGGATTGTTAGAAAGTTCCTGACCTGAGTGTGCAGTCAGGATTGAGAACCACTGACACAGCTAAATACATCCTGTCATTCTGCAGCCGCCAACAGATTCTGGTCCATCAGATTACCTGTACCCAGCCCCCACTAACCAGTGGTTCTGCACCTTGGCAGGATGTTTCAGACACCTGGGAGCTTTAAAAATCACCACGCCCAACCTACAATTCAGAACAATTAAATGCGTGCCAGGGGCGGGACCCCAGCATCAGTAGTTAGTAAAGCTCCTCCACTGATTCCAGCGTGCAGCCAGGATTAGAAACCACTGCCCAGTACACACAACTAAGTGACTTGGCAACGAACTGAACATTTCCCTGGCTACTTTCAGTGGGGGAGGGCCATGGGATAGTGGCGTTTTCATGCTGCCCAGGAAAACAAGTTATCTGGAGCTTTACTTGATCACCCAATGGGAGAGGATGGATTATTTAACATTTGTATTGGCCTGGTTTATTCATAGCCTTCTGGTTGGGGAAACACCAGCGTTTACATATGGAATTGGCCCATCAAGCTCCATTTGTCTATAGCCTCCTTTCATGGTTGATTGTCTGAACTTTTTTTGATATATAAAGAAAATATGAACTTTATTATAGGCTATTTGGTCAGAGGTTGAAAACAGCTGGTCTTAAGTGAACACTGATTTTTTTCAGTGACTCCACCCAAACGAAGAATACCCTGAGCCTGCAAAGTGATTCCTAGTGGGCCCTTCACATTCCAGCAGGTGGGAATGTGATCCCACCTGGGATCCTCCCCCCGTGTTTGTAGAAGTAACTACTTCCACAGCTTTTGCTCATTCTAGTGCTCAGAAATCAAGGGGCCCTCTGGGCAGAGGGATATGGTACAGAGCTCTGTGATGGCTAGCCTGCTGGCCCCTGGCTATCTGTCCGTCATCCTACCTTGGTGTAAAGCTTCAGGTCCCCATTCTCAACAACCCCAGATTGCCCCCCTGTCCTTCCCTGTGATTTCTAGTATCCTCAGTCAGAAAGGAATGCGATCTTTGTACATAGGTCATTTTAAAGCGATCTCTTTAAGGAGAACCACATAACCCTTGAGCAAAGGGTCCCCTATCAGTCTAAGGCCAATCCTAATTTGAAAAGCTACTTACCAGGCCATGGGATGAAAAGCCGGAAGGCTGTGAGCCATGATCAGATGGAGTTTAGCTGCCTTTCTTCTGATTTAATTTCAGGCCGGAGACACAGCACTTCATGTTGCTGCTGCCCTAAATCACAAGAAGGTGGTTAAAATCTTACTGGAAGCTGGAGCAGATGGAACCATTGTTAATAATGTAAGTTAAGCTGCAACAGTGTTTCTAGAAATCATTCCCACCCCTTTCCAGAATGGAGTGTGTTGTTACTTACCTCACCTCCTGCAGGGCACACAGCCTCCCTTAGCCTTACTTTATAAGAGATTAGAGGTCTGCTAACAGGAGGACCCCAGAGGCCGCCTTGAGGGAACCCTTGCTCATAGCAGCTCCATGAGTTGATGAGCCCTAAGGGTTCATCTCTAGACTCCTAGCTCAAGTGAGCATATCCTGGCAGGAAAAGGAAGGTCAGGGGTGTCTAAGTAAACTGACAAGTGGATGTTACTGAAAGTGAGTTCCTGCCCTGTAAACAGACAGGGTCCTCAGAAAAGTGGCCACGTGACCATCAGACTAATCATCCTCAAAACTCAAACTCCCTTCTCCAAAATCACCTTATTCCTTCCTTCTTTTTCTTAATATCCCACCCCACCATTGTTCCCTCTCTCTCCTAGGTCCTATGGCAGGCACCAGCTCAGGCACCCTTTCTTCCTTAAGGCTGACCTGTGGTCTGAAGTAGCACAGACTGACAGACTGAGAAAGGCTGGGGGTGGAACAGTTGTATGGAGAGTCCCCGCCTTCCTCCTCCTCTTCGACCTGTATTGGGTGGTGCACCATTGTGCCTGTCCCCTGATGCCTTTCCCTTCTTTTGAATCCCACTGTTATCAGCTCCCTACTTTTTGGCTTCATCTCCCTAGAGCCTCCATTATGGCCATAGCTACCTAATTGTCTCTCACAGTCCAGGTCCTGAAACTGTGTGGCTGTGCCCCAGTCTGCCCTTCCAAGTGCCTTCTCCACTTCTCCAGGGAAAATTCATTGCTTGGCTGGACTTTATGATCCTTTGTGTTTCTTCAACTAAATCTTCCCCTTTGGCCCTGTCTGATGTTTACATTCTCTCCTCTCTCTTCCAGGAAGCATTCCTTGGTGGGCAGGTATTCCAGAGCTTTGCTTCCTAGAGCACTTACCCTCTGTTGTTATTAATCGTTGGGCCCTCAGGTGTGATTTGGCCCCCTCGTCGAATGGAGGAGGCTCAAGAGTGAGGCCAGGTCTTCTATGCGATTGTATTTTGTTGGGCACGTGTAGGTGCTGGTGTGACTGAGCACAGAATTGCTGTCCCAGTTGGGCTAGGGTGCAGGGTTGGTCTCTCTTACTCACTTGTCCCCCACTTTGCCTTTCCTTAGGCAGGCCAGACTCCCCTGGAGACTGCCCGCTACCACAATAATCCGGAAGTTGCTCTTCTCCTCACTAAAGCTCCCCAGGTAGGATTGATTACATTTTCCATTCTATTGATGATGTGGGGCTGCAAAGTTGTTGTGATTCTCTGGCCATCTACTAAAGCCAAATCAAACTAACTTAAATAGGAAACTGATGGGCTCACAACCAGGCAGTGGAAAAGGCAGGAATCCATTTGGGGCTTCTAAGATAACCAGAACAAGAAACTTCAAGTTCAGTAGGCTTGTCTTCATACACGGGCATCATTTCTTCCCCGTGGCTGGATCATTGGCGTTACCAGCTTTGTGGACCAGAACTCCCCAGGTTCTCAGGGAAGAAGTTCTGGTCGCAGAAGAGGATCATGATTGGCGAGCTTGGGGCAAACGGCCTGAACGAGCAGGGCAGGCACTTTAGGAAGATAGCTGCATCCATCTGACTGTATGGTTAGAGGGGAGGAGCCTTTTCTAGAGAAAGGTGGGAGGAAGGGATCCCGGTCTGGGTGAACAAAAAAAAAAAACAGTTTTTTTTCATACGATTGGTTTAATTTTTTTTCAGCAGGAGAAAAAAGAATAAAGTTACAAGATTCTTTTAATATTTTCACAATGTTTCACACGTCCATTAGAGGCAGTTAAGTATAAAATAGCTTTCTTTCCTTTTGTTATTGAATAATGGTATTTTAGGCATTTAAGTTAAAAAATTGATATCATTTGAGCTGAGATTGAAATCCTCTAACAGATTTAGTAATTTATAAGCTATTCATCATTTTAGTGCCCTGAAATAACTGTTTTTGTTCATATTCCCTTTCAGACGCATGATTTTTACAATTGTGCCTACCCTTTTGTATGCTGCCCTTTATCTTAACTATAATAGAAAAACGTTCTGTAGTTCTGAAAATTACTCATCATAATGGAAGCCAGTATGCTTTTTTTGTTGTTGTTGCTGTCCAATATTTTGTTAACCTAAATGTCCAACATTAAGGAAATGGTTTGTTTCCCCATCGGAGCTGCTCTGTATTACATTACAGTGAAAACTGATTTGTTTTCTACCTTATTCTGACTAATGTTGTGAGAAGATAAAGTCTTGGAGAGCCGGAGGAAGATTCCAGATACCAGCCTGCTGCATCAGAGCCTGATCCCAGTCAACCGAAGGGTCTGAATGGCCTTCGGGTCATTTAAGTTTTAAAAACCTACCTGATATAACGAGCAATTTGTGGAAGTAGTTAAGATTTTTGTCTTTGGAAAACTGGTCACCCTGTTCCCTGTGGAGTTAGTGCTTCTCAGTAGCGTCTGGACATCCTTGGAGCCTCTGACAGCCATGAGTCAGGTGGTCCTTTGGAAAAAGTTTCCACCTCTTTCCAACTATTTGCAAACAAATCATTACTGGAGTCACATCCATGAATCCTGATAGCAAAAGGCTGGTCTCTTACAGATCAAAAAGTACAGGATGCTATAATAAATGTCAGAATTTATCTCTGTTATCTGGCATTTCAGTATTGGCAGTTTGGACAGCCAGCTGTATCCTCAGCCATGTGAAGATCATCAAATTTTGTGGGGTGTAGTATCCCCCAAGGTACAGACTTATAGGCCTTTGATCCTCCTGTCCTTTGTCTCCAGAACTCAAGGATCTGTGTTCTTAGGGGAGAGGCTTTTCCCATGGACCATTTTCCTATGTGGTTCTCCTTTACTGTTTCCATTTTAAAAAATGACTTCAGTTTTTCCATGCCCATTTGAATAGCAAATAGGATGACCTCTTATGGAAGTATTTTACACAATTGTATATGCTAAACCCTGTTCTCAATATGAACGAGGAACTTTGGAATATGCATAAAATTGTATACATGTTCTTTTGTTCTTAAGTTACAGAACTAGCTCTCCTCTTTGTGTGAAACAGGAAATTCCTTTGCCTTGGCACCTTAGTGGACGTGGATTTCAATGGCTCACAGCAGTACTAAGATCTTTCTAAAGATCCATATTCCCCGATTTCGGTGAACTAGAAAAGATTGATGACGTTCCATTGGTAGATGATATGGTTCGCTGAGAAAGGCTGTACGCCATGCAAAGTTATTTGCACTGGCTAATAACCTGGTCTGTGGAGGGAATTACTCTGATGATTTGGGTGACCTCTGAGTATCCCTTCTCATTTTAGATTGATATGTTCACAAATGCTTTTGAAAGTGAATTTTGGATTGATGCTGGGGCTGTATCCTGTTCTAAGAGCCCATAAACCGAATGAGCAATGGGCATTAGTCACTTCTTCTCATCAGACTTGACTTCCTAGTGAGTCTGAATTTAGTTTCAGAAATGGTTCTCAGACCTTTTGATCTGGGGACATCTAATGTTCTAGAGGCCCATTAAGAGCTGTGTGTGAATTATATCTATTAATAGTGTCCATGTTTGAAATTTGAGAAATGTTAAAGATGGTAAGTTCATTTTGTAACAAATAGCATTGTCTTTATGAGCAATAACTATTTTTCAAAACCAAAGTTAGGGGAGAAGAGTAGGTAGCATTATGTTACATTGTTGCAAATCTCCTTGCGTCTTAGTGGAAAGATGGAGGGCTGCCCTCTACTTCTGCACGTGACCCACTGGGGTGTTGTGTGCAGCTTCTGGTAAATACTGCTGTACAATCACTGAGAGGGAAAAAGCCGACATTGTTACGCTGTCATGAAAATAATTTCAGTTTCGTGCACCCGGGGTTCCCTGGACACTTTCAGAGCTGTTGGCTTAGAGGATGAGAATACAATTTAAAAATCTGGTTTAGCCACAGGCAGATGTCATCAGGAATTCTCCATTTAGATTGTACCGCTGTCCATAGAGGTTCTTCTTGTCATATGATGTCACTTGAATTTAATGAACACAAGAAAGTTGAACATTTAGATGAAAGCACTATGCTGAACTTCAGAGAACCCTTCTCCATCTACAGATGAAGACCATAAAATGTTTTATTGCAAAAAAATTAGAGCTTGAAGAAGTGTTTTCCCTTTCTGGACCTCCTTGGTGAAAGGGAGTGACTCTGGGGCTGGAAGTAAAAAGCCATGGGTTGAAAGCTTCTGCCAGCTCAAAGCTCTGTACTCTGGTTAAACTTCCTCTGGCCAATTAAGCAACTCGAGGGGCCAAGGCAGGAGGGAGGCACCTAACAGTGCCTGAAAGTCCAGGGTATGCCAGCCACTTGCTTTGTCTTGGTTAATTCCATTAACTCCCCGTATTTACAGAATACAGAAAGGGCAAATAACTTGCCGGAAGATCCTACAGCTAGCTGCTGCTGAATTCCAAAATCGGGCTATCGGACCCCGTGTCTACTTGCCTGTGTCTGTTCCACCTTCCTGCCCTCTTGGGCAGGCCAAATGCTTCCTTTTGGGGACCAGATTCCTGCCCCATGGTTGGTACCATGGTTCACAGATGAACCTCAGTGTTTGAAGCAAACTAAAAACTGACTTGAATACAGTTTGGTCAAGAGAAAATATGATGGGCTAGTTCAGGTCCAGCGTACCAAGATAGCGAGACACTGCCTGGCGTGGGGCCGCTGTGTTGTGCGAGTCCAGGGGATGCTGTTCCTATGCTCGTCTGTGAGTGGTGTTCCCTGGAGTTAAGCAGTGCACAGCCTGCACACCCCCCTATGGCGACCGTGGCCTGGCACACAGATGCCTATTGTTGTCCTCGACCATAAGCTCCTTGAGATCGGGGACCATGTCCTACTTCCTTCTGGGCTCCTACAGAGCCCAGCACAAGACCTCGGTGCCCAGCAGGCAGGCAGAGATGCGTGTTTGATGTGATTGCTTGGTCTCTCCCTAGGCTGGAAGTTCCACTAGATCAGAGCACCAGGTCCAAGGACAATGCTGTCACGACGCTGCACACACCGTGGTTTGTAACCATGCCTCTTGCCTCCTTCAGGTCTTGCGCTTCAGTCGCGGGCGAAGCCTGAGGAAAAAGAGAGAGAGGCTCAAGGAAGAGAGGAGAGCTCAGTCTGTGCCAAGAGATGAGGTGGCACAAAGCAAGGTGGGGGGTAGCTCTCCCGCCCCTCCCAAACGTCACCCCCTTACAGAGGGTGGGAAACAATCTGGCTGTTCCTTCTGGGTTCATCTGGCAGCGGCTGTGCCCTCCTCTGTCTCTCCTTTCCGCTGGTTCTTCAAACTGTTGTCCGTGTTTTCCCTTTGGTTTCTTGTCCTCCACTCCTCCAGGATTTCAGATCGTGTGCCCGTGTTGCCAGTCTTTCTCGGCATCCTTGTCTGGGCAGTTTCTAGCCCCATGTGTCTGTGGCCTCATCACTACTGTGTGGACAGCACTGCCTCTAATGCTGGGCCCTTAATGGTATAGGGCAGTGATTTTCAAAATGTAGTGTCCACTGTGCCATCTGGGACCTTGTTAGAAACACAGAGTTGGGGGCCTCACCTCAGACCCACTGGATCAGAAACTCTGGGAGGGTGCCCAGCAATCTGTTCGAACAAGCCCTTCAGGTGATTCTGGTGTGGACTAAAGTTTGACAACCAGTGGCCTGGGTCGCTTCTTCTCTTTCGGCTTGGGGAATGGATTGAGGCTGCACTAGCCCATGTGATTCCTCTGTTGCAAATTTAGAAAAAGATGCCCCTTGGGCAGCCCAGCCCTGCTCAGGGTGCATAAGGGGAAGAGAGCCAGAGCCGGATTTCAGCTCCCTCTGCTAGGTGCCCTTGTGCAGTGAACAGCTTGCACAACTGGAACGAACCATGCCTTTCAGCTCTCGCAGGAAGAAAAACACTAGGATATAAAGACAACTTTTGGCACACAAAATTTTATACCGAGTGCTTATTGTTCTATTTCAAAATCCTCTTATCAGTTTTCAGGGTTAAGGCATTGTAACTCTGATTAAGTTCCTGTGGGTGAATTGTACATATTGATTTGTAAAAGTTCTTATAAGGACTAGAAATGCGATGTTTTCATTTCAGGGGGTTCTCCTACTCCATTATGAATTGTGAAGTCCAAGTTCAAAGAATAAATGGTTTTTTTTGGTTGTTGTTGCTGTGGTTGAAATGCAAAAAAATTTAAAAATTTCTAATGCTGAGCTGTTTGTGGTAGCTTCCGGAAGCTCTAAGATACAGAATTAGACCCAAGACTCTGTTTACCTTGGCACCTAATGAAGTAAAAGCAAAATATTCAACCAACTGGGAAAGTCCTACATGTTCAGTTTAGACCACCAAGCAGTGTTCCCTCTTTGTCATCAGCTAAGGTTCCTGTGGGTCCTTTAGTGGATGCAATCTTGCAAACGGAATTTTAGACCATTACAGAAGAAGGCAGAGGGGGCAATTAGAACCGGTTTCTGGGCACTTCTTTTTCCCCCCCTCTGTAGGGAAGTGTCTCCGCAGGAGACACCCCCAGCAGTGAACAGGCTGCACCCAGAAAAGAAGAGGCCAGAGAAGATGTCCTGTCCGCCTCCCCAGAGCCCAAGGCGAAGGACAACAGGCAGAGAAAGTCAAGGCCCAAGGTCAGGAGGCACGTGAAGGCAGCCAAGGGAGGGCTGGGAGGCAGGTTGGCCAAGGGCCCTGGGATCGCATCATGCCCAGTAGCTAAAATGCCACTGGACTTGGCTTGCTGGTTTGGAGCCAGAGCACGAAAATTAAATCTGGGTAACTTCAAACACAAGGTTAATGTGTTGATCTATTTCTTTGGACATGCGGTGCTTACAGTGGAGTGCCGTGAGACAAAGGAAGACGAGGGTGAGATGGGAGCCGTTGGATGGGGGCCAGTCTTGCAGATGTCACAGTGCTCAGGGGTATTGTTGATTCCTCTCCCACAGGCGTCAGCATTTTCTGACCCCACTCCACCAGCAGACCAACAGCCTGGACACCAGAAGAACTTGCATGCTCACAGTCACCCTAAAAAGAGGCCCAGGCACCGATGTTCACCGCCACCCCCTCCCCATGAGTTCAGAGCGTACCAGCTCTACACGCTGTACCGGGGCAAGGACGGGAAGGTGATGCAGGTACTTCATGAGCCCTGTCTGGTCATAGGACCGTAGGCCTTAAGCAAGGCTGTCTGTTTAACACTATTCCTGGGGGCTAATATCCGCTTGCAGTGTTGACTTGGGAAGGCAATGAGCTTTGAAGATAAACCAGATGTCCCTCCCTACACTGCAGATGCACCGCTGCTGCTGAGGCCCAGGCAAACGGGTAGTTACAAACCTTTGTGCACCATCCTTAAGTGACTAGGTAATCTTGAGGCTCCAGAGTAGATAAAAGCCACAAGGATTGGGACCGTGTCTTACCCTCTCTGAAGCTTCTCAGTGCCTATTGGACCCACAGCTTGGCCCATTGGACATCCCAAAGTTATGCCTCCTCCATCATCTGTATCCCCCTGGCATACTGACTGGCACTGGATGGGCACTCAAAACCAGTTTGTTGAAGGAGGGAATGAGTGGATTGATTCCTTTATTGTTCCCCTGTTAGGCACCAATAAATGGTTGTAGATGTGAACCCCTAATCAACAAGCTGGAGAACCAGTTGGAGGCAGCTGTGGAGGAGATCCGAGCAGAGCTGGGTTCGGTTCAGGATAAAATGAACACAAAGCTGGGGCATATGGAGAACAAAACCCAGCACCAGGTCAGTGAGTTGCCCCCCCGCCCCCACAACCCCCCATGGCCAGATGTTCTGGCAGGAAATGAAATCAGAAGCTGCCCACACTGAGCACCCTTTGTATTTTGCAGACTGAGCTGAGTACCTCCGGTGGACTCTCAGGGAAGAGGCTTATGTGATTTCTTCCAAGCGCATTTATTCAAAGTTTTTAAGAACCTGCTTAAATTGCTTCTGATTATAAAAATGATATATACCTATTACAGAGCATTTTCTTTAAATATGAAATTTAGAGGGGCGCCTGGGTGGCGCAGTCGGTTAAGCGTCCGACTTCAGCCAGGTCACGATCTCGCGGTCCGGGAGTTCGAGCCCCGCGTCAGGCTCTGGGCTGATGGCTCAGAGCCTGGAGCCTGTTTCCGATTCTGTGTCTCCCTCTCTCTCTGCCCCTCCCCCGTTCATGCTCTGTCTCTCTCTGTCCCAAAAATAAATAAACGTTGAAAAAAAAAATTAAAAAAAAAATAAATATGAAATTTAGAAAGGAAAAGAAATCCCCTACAAGCCCACCACAGTGAGAAATCACTACTAACATTTGGGTTTATTCTCTTCCAGTCTCTTTATGTTTGTATCCTGGCCCCTTTCCCACTGCACACACAATCAGAACAATCCTGTCTATAGGTGTCTTTATTTTGAAATTTTTCAAAGAAGAGAAACAGTGAAACAGTGCAATGAAAGCATGTCTACTCTCCACCTAGACTCAACCATTTGTTAATATGTTGCCACATTTGTTTTGTGTCTCTCACATGCACCTGTCTTTCTCTTGAATCCTTTGAGATTTAGTTGGAGCCTGTCCTGACTTCTCACCTCTAAATACTTCAGAGCGCATCTTGACGAAGAATAAGGACTTTCTCCTTTGTAGCACAATACGTTATCATGTATGAGAAAATTAACAATGATTGCATCATATCCAGTCCGTATTGCGATTTATTCCGTTCTTCCAAAATGTTTTCTTATAGCTTGTTTTTGTTTTAAATTCCAGCTCAGAATCCAGTGATTTTTTTGTGCATCTGGGTTATGTCTCTCTGGTTTCTTTTCATCTACAACAGGCTGATTTCTTCTTCCATCTTTTTCTTTATTCCTAGGATATTATCTTTTTAAAAAGTCTAGGCCAGTTGTTATATAGGATGTTCAACATTCTAGACATGTCTGATAGGCTCTTCATGGTATTATTTAACTTGTTCTGTCTCTGTATCTCTGTGAACTGAAAGTTAGGTCTAGAGCAGTGGGTCTCAAAGGTGTCATCCCTGGACCAGTAGCATCAGCATTATCTGGGAGCTGTGGGGGCAAAAATGACAATTCTTGGGCCTCATTCCAGATCTACTGAACTTAATTGTGAATAAACCTCTGGGGATGGGGTCTAGCCACCTGTGTTTGAACAAGACCTCCAAGTTTGAGAACCACTAGTGTCTAGATGCTTATTTCGGTTCAGATTAAGTATTTTTGGCAAGAAAATGTCATAGTTAATGGCGTAAACTTCAAACTATGTCACATCAGGAGGCACATAATGCCAGGATGTCTCCTTATTAATGATAAGTTTGATTACTTGGCTGAGTAACCACCATCTCTCTCCATCAAAGAATATATTTTCTCTTTGTAATCAGAAATGTATGGTGGATATAGATTTTTAAGTACAAAAGACACTTTTAAAAATGTATAAGTTAGCCTATTAATAGGAAAAAATCCACATTACAGAAATATGAAATATAGCGATACATTCCAGAGATACCTTCCATTCCTGGTTTTGTGTATTTTCCCATAGATTTTCTCTTTTATAGATAGTACTTATATAGTTACCACTTTAAAACAAAAATGGAACTATGCTATGTTTTTTCTTCTTCTTCAGCTTTTTTTTTTAATGTTTATTTTTGAGAGAGACACAGAGCACGAGTGGGGGAAGGGCAGAGAGGGAGGGAGACACAGAATCTGAAGCAGGCTCCAGGCTCTGAGCTGTCAGCACAGAGCCCGACGCGGGGCTCGAACTCACAGACCGTGAGTTCATGACCTCTGCTGAAGTTGGACACTTAACCCACTGAGCCACCTAGGCGCCAATCTTCCTCAGCTTTTTAATTGGAGTAAAGTTGACACAGGTTACACTACATTAGTTTCAGGTGTACAACATAATGATTGCACAAGTCCACATGTTCTGCCGTGCTCACCACCAAGTGTGGTTACCGTCTGTTACCTTTCACCCCGTGACTTCTTCATTCCGTAACTGGAGACCTGTACCTCCCACTTCCCTTCACCCACTTTGCTCATCCCCCCACCCCTTCTCTGGCAACTACCAGAGGAGTTCATACCTTCTTTCTGCTTTTTTTGTTCATTTGTTTTTTAGATTCCATATAAGTGAAATTCTATGGTATTTGTCTCTCTGTCTGCCTTATTTCACTTAGGAAAATGCCCTCTGGGTCCGTCCATGCTGTCGCAAATGGCAATATATATATATTTTTTTAAGATTTACCATTTTATTTTATTTTAAAGTTTATTTATTTTGAGAGAGAGCATGAGTAGGGTAGGGGCAGAGAGAGAGTGGGAGAGAGAATCCCAAGCAAACTCTGCACTGTCAGTGTGGAGCCCAGGGTGGGCCTTGAACTCATGAACCATGAGATGATGACCTGAGCTGAAACCAAGAGTCTGACGTTTAACCAACTGAACCACCCAAGGTGCCCTGCAAGGTATTCTTTTTTATGGCTGAGTAATACTTCATTGTGTGTGTGTGTGTTGGACACACACACTATATCTTGTCCGCTCATCTTATCAATGGACACTTGGGTTGCTCCTATATCTTGGCTACTGTAAATAGTACTATAATAAGAATAGGAATACATCTGTTTTTCCGAGTTAGTGTTTTTGTTTTCTTCAGGTAAATACCCAGTAGTGGAATTATTGGATCAAAAATGGTAGTTCTATTTTTAATTTTTGAGGAACCTCCATATTGTTTTCCACAGTGATTTTTTATCAATTTACATTACCACCAACAGTGCACGAGGGTTCCTTTTTCTCCACATCCTTGCCAACACTTACTTCTTTTTGATACTGGCTGTTCTGACTGGTGTGAGGTGATATCTCATGGTTTTGATTTGCATTTCCCTTATTAGTGTTGTTGAGCATCTTTCATATGCTGTCTGCCATCTGTATGTTGTCTTTGGAAAAATGTCTATTCAGGTCCCCTGCCTATTTTTAAATCAAATTGTTGAGGGTAGAGTTGTATAAGTTCTTTATATATTTTGGTTATAAACCCCTTATTGTATATATCACTTGCAAATATCTTCTCCCATTCAGTAGGTTGCCTTTTCATTTCGTTGATGATTTCCTTCATGTGCAAAAGCTTTATATTTTGGTGTAATCCCAGTAAAGTTATTTTTGCTTTTGTTCCTTTGCCTGAGGAGACCTATCTAGAAAAATGTTGCTAAGGCTGATGTCAAAGAGATTACTGCCTGTATTTTCGCCTAGATGTTTTTTGAGTTCAGGTCTCACATTTAGGTCTTTAATCCATTTAAACTCATTTTTGTGTATGGTATAAGAAAGTGGTGCGGTTTTTCTTTTGCATGTAACTGTGTAGTTTTCCCTGCACCGTTAATTAAAGAGACTGTGTTGGGGGCACCTGGGTGGCTTAGTTGGTTGGGGTCTGATTTGGGCTCAGGTCATGATCTTGAGGTTTGTGGGTTTGAGACCCACATCAGGTTCTTTGCTGACAGCTCAGAGCCTGGGGCCTACTTCGGATTCTGTGTCTCCCTCTCTCTGTCTCTCCTCTGCTTGCGCGCACACGTGCTCTCACTCTGTCTCAAAAATAAATATTAAAAATGAACAAATATTAAAGATTTTTTAAATTTTAATTAAAAACATTTTTTTAATGTTTGTTTTTGAGAGAGAGAGAGAGTGTGAGCAGCAAGGGGCAGAGAGAGAGGGAGACACAGAATCCTAAGCAGGCTCCAGGCTCCAAGCTGTCAGCACAGAGCCCGATGCGGGGCTCGAACTCACAAACTGCGAGATCATGACCTGAGCTGAAGACAGATGCTCAATCCACTGAGCCACCCAGGCACCCCTAAAGAAAAATTTTTTTAAAGCAACTATCTTTTTCCTCCCATATATTTCTGCCTCTTGTGTTGTAGATTGACCATATAAGTGTGGGTTTATTTCTTGGCTCTCTGTTTATTGATCTATGTGTCTGTTTTTGTGCCAGTGCCATATTTTATTATAGCTCTGTAGTATATTTTTAAATCTTGGATTGTGAAACTGCCAGCCTTGTCTTCTTTCTCAAGATTGCTTTAGCTATGTGGGGTCTTCTGTAGTTCCATACAAATTTTAGGATTATTCTAGTTCTGTGAAAAATGCTGTTGGTATTTTGATAGGGATTGCATTGAGTCTGTAGATTGCTTTGGATAGTGTGGACATTTTAAAATATTGAGTTTCTAATCCATGAGCATGGAGTATCTTTCCACTTGTGTTGTCCTTAATTCTTTCATCAGTGCTTTATATTTTCAGAGTATAGGTCTTTTACCTTCTGGGTTAAGTTTATTCCTAGGTATTTTATTCTTTTTGGTGCAAGTGTAAATGGAATGGTTTTCTTTTTTTTTTTTTTTTTT